TTGAAGGCCAGAAGAGGATGACAGACCCGTTATGTGAATGCTGGGAGTTGAACTTGGGTCCTGTGGAAGAACAGCAAGTGCTCTTATCCCCTGAGCCACCTCTCCAGCCCCTCAAATATTCTTTGAGAGTGGTACCAGCGCTGAAGCATAGTGAACCTAACAGCGGCCACACCCTCAAAGAAAACTAACTCTTCCTTTCCCAGCAGCTATCAGATGCCAAGAGCTCCTTGGTTAGGGTTGAGACTTCATGCCCACCTCCCCTGTCCATACTGGGATTTTGTAGACAAGGTCTTCTTATGTAGCCCAGGCCTGGCTCAAACTCCCTACCATGAACATGAGAAATTTTTGCATGTGTTCTATAGTTTCTTTCAGGAACATTTTATAATTTTTAGTGTATGAGTCCTTGGTCTTCTAATTATTTTATTTCCATCCTCTGTTAAATAGAATTTCTTCTTCTTTTTTTTTTGGTCTTTTTGAGACAGGGTCTCCCTATAGCCCCAGCTGGCCTGAATCTCACTATGTAGACCAGGCTGGCCTCAAACTCACAGGGATCCACCTGCCTCTGCCTCCCAAATGCTGGGATTAAAGGCAATAGCCACCACGCCTGGCCTGTGTTTCCCTATTTTACCCAAAGGGCATGAGCAAGTCCCATAGGGAGTGGCAGGACAAGGATTTGGTTTGGGTTTTGGTACTCATTTTTTGTTTTGTTTTTCTTTTAAAATATTTTATTTATTATTTTTATTTTATGTGTATGGGAATATTGCCTGACTCCGGTTCAATTCCCAGCACCCCCATGGCAGCTAACAACTACCCTTAACTCCAGTTCCTGGGAATCTGACAGCCTCTTCTGTCCTCCACGGGCATTGCGTGACACAAGTGCATTTACCTGCATGCAAGCAATACACACATACACATAAAGTAAAAATAATAAATAAAATATTTTTTAAATATTAAAAAAAATGTAGGACAAAGTTAAATAACTCAGTATCATCAAATACATATTACTGATCACATTTCTATTTGTTATCCCAACTGTCTTACTACACTTGTTTTTTCGAATCTGTATCTAAACAGCATTTCTATCTTGTTTTTTTGTTTTTTTGTTTTATTTTTTTGAGATAGGGTTTCCCTGTAGCCACAGTTGGCCTGGAACTTGCTATGTATGCCAGGCTGGACTCAATCTCATAGAGATCTGCCTGCCTCTGCCTCCTGAGTGCTAAGATCAAAGGTGTGCGCCACCACACCCATCTTCTACCTTGCATTTTGTTAGTATATCTTAGTTTGGTTTGGTTTGGTTTTTTCCTGTGGATGTTTTTTGTTGATAGGGTTTTTCTTTGGAGACAAGTTATTATGTAACCAAGGGTGACCTCAAATTTGATATGTAGCTGGATCTGACTTTAAACTTTTGATCCTCCTGCCTTTATCCACCAAGTGCTGAGATTACAGGTGGGGCACTACCAAACATCCAGATTCGGCAAAATTTTTGTATTTATCCTATAAAATACGAGAGAGTATGAGAATACCTCAATGTTTAAAGTTGATTTCTATTTCTTTTTCTGGAAACTGTTTATATACTTCATTGATTATTTTCTGAGGTTGTTGCCTTATGGAAGAGGGGACATTGAAGCAGGGTCTCAGGCTGACCTTGAACTCCTGATCCTCCTCCCTCTACCTCCCGTCTAGTAGTACAGATATGTACAACCATGCTTTGCAGTTGTTGGCCTTTTTCCCATTTATGTCTAGGAGATTTTTCTTTTTTATTTTTTCGGGTTTTTTTCAGACAGGGTCTCCCTGTAGCCCCAGCTGGCCTGTACTCACTGTGTAGACCAGGCTGGCCTTGAACTCATAGAGAGAAAATAACTTTTACTGATTCTTTGAGAATTTTATGCAATGTATTTTGGTCATATTCAGATGCCCTCCCCCATCTTTACCCCAACTCTACTACCCCCTCAAATTCACTTCTATTATTATTTTTATTTTTATTTTTTTATGTGTATGAGGGTTTTTTTAAATTTTTTTTTATGTGTATGAGTGTTATGCCTGCATGTAAGTAAGTGCACCCATGTCGTACAATGCCCGCGGAGGACAGAAGAGGCTGTCAGATGCCCTGGAACTGGAGTTACGGACAGTTGTTAGCTGCCATGTGGGTGCTAGGAATCTAACCCAGGTCTTCTGCAAGAACAGTCAGTGTTCTTAACCGCTGACCCATCTCTCCAGCCCACGTGTATGAGTTTAATGCCTGCATGTATGTAAGTGCATCCATGTCATGCAGTGCCCGCAGAGGAGAGAAGAAGGTGTCAGATCCCCTGGAACTGGAGTTATGGATAGTTGTTAGCCGCCATGTGGGTGCTAAAATTCAAACCCAGGTCTTCTGCAAGAGCAGTCAGTGTGCTTTTAACTGGTGCACCATCTCTCCAGACCCTATTTTCCTTTTTTAAAAAATATCTATTGAGTCCAATTTGTTTTCCCCAAATGCTGTTGGTTGTGGGTCCATCTCTTGGAGTCAGGTCAACCAACCAGGCATCACACCCTTAAAGAAAACTGACTCTCTTTACCAGCAGCTGTCAATTGCCAGTAAATAATTCTTCAGCTAAGGCTAGGGCTTCTTGCTCACCTCCCCCATGCATGCTGGGTTTTTGTCTGACTTGGACTTGGAAAGGTCTTGTGCATGCTGTTACAAACACTGTGGGTTCATATGTGTAACTGCCCTGTGGTGTCCAGACAACAAGGTTTCCTTATATTTATTTTTTCTACCTCTAGCTCTAAAAATCTTTCTACCCCTCTTCCACAGTTATCCTTGAACCTTGGGAGGAGATGGTGTGATATAAGTGTCCCATTTAGGGCTGAGCACTCCATAGTCTCTTACCTTCTACACACTGACAAGTTGTGGGTCTCAGTGTTAATCACCATCTGCTATAAGATGAACCTTCTCTGGTGAAAATTGAGAGACACACTGATCTATGAGTATAACAATAAGTCAATAAGAGTCAGTTTAATATTATGTCTGCAGAATAATAGTAGTAATTTCTCTCCCACAGCCCGTGACCTGACTAGCCACAGGTTCTTGGCTGTGATAACAGTTCCAGGTATGGGCTCTGTCTTGTGAAGTGGGTTTTAAATCCAATCAGAAGGTGGTTAATTACTCCTATAACATTCTTGCCGCCATTGTATCAGTGAACATACCTTTCCCGGCCAGTTGTTATTGTAGGGTACAGAGTTCACAGCTGGGTAAGGTTGATTACTTTTCTCTTTCAGTAGCATGCAGAGCACCTTCTAGTTCTGTGAAAGCTAGGTAGTAGAGATGAAGTTTCAAGGTCAGTATCGGCTCCATTTCTCCTTGTTTGTACTATACTCATATAGCCAGTATTGTTTGAGGGTCTTAAAAAGTATCAGTCTTTGTGTCTCAGTCTGACTTTACTATGTATTTGTTTTTTTGAGACAAGATCTCTCTGTAACTCCAGCTGACCTGAAACTCGTAGGTCTTTTACCTCACAAAGATCCACCTACCTCTCCTTCCTGCATGCTGTGATTAAAGACATGGGCCACCATGCCCTGTTAGTTATTTAATTAAAAAAAAAA